GCCCCGGTTCGGCAGGTGCTGCCAGGTGGGGGAGCGATTCCTGGTGCCCCACATTGTGTGGGGGGCTCTGCATGAGCCCCCAAGCCCCCAGCCCCCTCGTGGGCACTCTGCACCAGCCCTTTAAGGAAAAAAAATACCTGAAGAAACCCTGGGACTCACCCCTTCTGCCAGCGGGGGCGATCCCTGCTGCCCCCCCGCCATGTGGGGGCTCTGCACGAGCCCCCAAAGCCCTGAGGCTGCACCAGGAGCGGTGAGTCCAGGGGCTTTTCTTGGCTTTTTTTTTCTTAAAGAGCTGGAGCCCCAACAGGTGGGGCAGCCATGGGCGGGTCAGGGAAGTGGGGGGGAGGGGTCACGGGGGCTTGTGCAGAGCCCCCCATGCAGCGTGGGGCAGTGGGGGGCAGTGAGGATTGCCCCCCGCCCAGCAGCACCCAGTGAGCACCAGGGCTTTTTTTTAAAGTACCGGGAGCTGGGGCGGATGGGGGCAGCCATGGCGGGGCTGGCAGGGGTCCCTCCATGGTCCCTTCCCCCACCCCTAGTACTTAGCAGCTTCCTGCTGCAGGCACCGGGAACTTCCTGAATCATCAAAGCTCTCCAAATCTTTGCCAAAGATCCGGAGAGCTTTGAATCAATTCGGACCTTTAAATTGGTCCCCTGATTTGATTTGGACTCGGAGCTTCAGCCACCGAATCAGACTGAATCTCCTCCGAATCGAATCAGCACCCAAAGCTTCGCACAGCCCTAATAGACATACTGCCTCAAGTAAGCCATGAGTGGCACCAGTGCATCTATATCCATTATCAAGCCTGGGTACATGAAACTAGTGTGTGTGGTGGATTTTGCTAGCGCAGGGTCAGTGCAGGGCTGCTCTGGGCAGACCCACCATTGTGGCTGAATAAAGAACCACTCTAGACCAGGCCTCATTGAGTGAAAGCAGGTTTTGGTGCCTGGACAACATCACAGATCCTTAGGATAATTGAGAATAATGGCTTTCATATTTTCATAGTTTCATAGTTGGTAAGGTCGGAAGGGACCTGAGGAGATCATCTAGTCCGACCCCCTGCCGTGGCAGGAAAGAATACTGGGGTCAAACGACCCTGGCCAGATGTTCGTCCAGCCTCCTTTTAAAGACCCCCAGGGTAGGAGCCAGCACCACTTCTTTTGGAAGTTGGTTCCAGGTCCTAGCCGCCCTGACAGTAAAATAGCGCTTCCTAATGTCTAGCCTGAAACTACCCTCCTCTAGCTTGCCTCCATTGTTTCTTGTAACTCCCGGGATTGCTCGGTGGAACAGGGACTCTCCCAATGCCTGCTGGTCCCCCTTGACTAGTTTATAGACTGCCACTAGATCTCCTCTCGGCCTTCTCTTCTGGAGGCTGAACAGGTTCAGGTCCCTCAGCCTCTCCTCGTAGGGCCTGCCCTGCTGACCCCTGATCATGCAGGTGGCCCTCCTTTGGACCCTCTCCATATTGGCCACATCCCTCCTGAA